TGTACTTAATTAAGTTTCTTATTAGTTAGATATTATTTAGTTTGGTAAATAATATATATTTAAAGCTAGAATATATATTGTCTTTATTTGGTAGATCTATATTTATAATAGTTGTTTTATTTCTTGTTGAAGGATCATAAAATAAAAAGACACGGGAGCTTATCATAGATCTCGATTTTGATAAAGGAGATCGTGTTCAAGTCTTGAAGAAACTAATTTGGAAGGGAACCAACTCCAAATGGCTCCTTGTCATTGAGAAGTTTGTATGTATGTATGCTCAAAGACTCATAGAATGGCTGCTGCAAATCAAGTTTATTATCTCAGACATTCATAGAGTGTTCGTGAGCTTTTGTTTTCATTTGCTATTTTGCAGTGATTCGGTGTATGTTCTTACATCGTTGAAGAGTTGTATATGTTATTTATAAACTCTTTGAGTGCTTACGGATTAAGTATTTTTTTAGCGAGGAGAGACCAGTAACTATCTTGAAGTCCACTTTGTAGACGGAGAAGTATATAATAGAGTTGAGTATAGTGCTGATAAGATTAGGAGGGAGTCCTTGTCTTGTAAGCTATACATTGTGCTCGCAAACTGATATATTAATGAAATAGCTTTAAGGGGTAGTGAGACGCTCCCTAAAAATATTTTACTTATGTGTTGATTCTGCTTTTAATTTCTGTGTTTAAACTTTACACACACATATGTACTCTACTTATTCCCCCACATTGTTTTAATAAAAATTAGGTGAACTCGACCCTGAAATGAGATGGCAATTTATGAACTAAAAACGTTAAAATAAATAAAATAAAATAATTTAGGACGCGATTGCATATGAGTCCAATCGATTTTGACTAGTTTTGTTTGGTTAAAGTGAGTTAAAGTGAATTATTGAGTGGATTATTTTGAATTTGAGATTAAATAATATATAAAATATAATGATTAAAGTTGATGTGATGTAAAAGTATGAGAGATGTTATTGGAAGTGATAAGTAATTAAAATTATATGAGTTGATGAATAGTAAATTAAAATCGATGTAATGTGTGAGAATGATTGATTAATATTATTTATTTACATTTATAAAAAAGAATGAGAGTTGGGTTCATTTGAATTTTGAGTTAGATGATTGTATATGAAATGACAAATTGATTGAGTTTGGTATCACACTATCACAAATACCATCACCTCTATCACAAATTCACAGCAAACAAAAGGCTCATCAACACCAATGGAAGCCGCCTCATCTTCCACCTTCACAGCGTCGTTGAGAATGACCCCATATCAGCAAGAAACTTTTCAAAAAAGGCGTCCCCGGAAGACTTGCCTCTGCCGTCCACCGTCACCTCGTCTTCCTCCAACCCTAGCTCCAAGCCAGAAATCCCCAAATCAAAGCCTGAACCCTCCTTTAAATCCCTCGCCGAGGAGCAGATCAACGAGACGACAGAGGAGAATGTTTCTCGGCGGCGAACGAGACTGACAGAGGGACAAGTGATTGGGGTTTCTATGGCTCTTATTATTATTGCTTGCAACAGAGAAATTTGTATTTTACCCTAAATTTTATATATGAAAGTAAAACTGATCTGAAATTTTGATGTAGGGAGGGGCAGGGGAATTGGTGTTGGGATTGGGAGTCTTTGCACAGGAAATTTTCTCGCAGGATAGCCAGTGGTGGAGGCAGCGAAGGTAGCGGATGAAGGAGGAAACGACGACTAGTTGCAGTCTTTAGAGCATCTCCAATGGTGTCATGTCTATTTTGATATGTATGTTGTGGAGAAAAGCAATAAAAATAGTTTGTCCAACCGGTGAATGTCAATTGTAGAATAATTTGACATGTGTAAGAAAATAATTAGTTGGTGGAGAGAGATATACAAAATAAATAATATAATATAGATAGAAGATGTCTAGAAGTCTTTCTACATCTAGAAAGACTTCTAGAAATTTTACATGCCACATTGGATTGTTGAGGACATGTGACATGGAATGGAAGAATGCACACTCCATTGGAGATGCTCTTAGTTTTGCTAATGCATATTTAAGATATTTTCACTTGGTTATGAAAATTTTTAATTTAGGGCTATTCGGAGGATGAGTGAAACTCTCAAGAAAAATCGTCTCCTCGAAGAACAAGTAAATAATTGTGTGGAGTACTGTCTTGGGCAGATGGTGAAAAATCTAATTCCATTGTTGCTAGTTTTCTTTTAGTTTTTGTGCTCTTCATTTATTGTTTGGACTAATTTTGGAAAATTAATCCAGAGATTTTTCTAAAATACAGAAAAAAAGGCCTAATTGCTTAAAAAACCATGACCTTTTCGAAATTTGCATTTTTATGATCCACTTTTAAACTTGGCAAAATTATGCACCACTTTCATTATTGTTTGCAAATCTATGATCAGGGCCCAATTTCGGGCTTTTTTAAACGACGTGGCTTTTTTTTTTCAGACGTGTCAATTGTTGTTTTTAATCGATATTCCACATCGCAAAGGCCTATATAAGACTGAGAATCCTTCAATCGACGACATCTTCTGAAAAATCCCCAAATTTTCTCAAACCCTAAATCGACGATATCAGATTCAATTTGAGATCGACTAATTACTCATTTCGAAGAACTTTTTTCTTTCAAACCTAATCGACGATCTCAATAAAAATTTATGTTCATCCGTTGCCCGAATCGACGATCTTCTCAATCAATTCGACGAAGATTCTGTGAAGTGCCTGTTTCACTACGCTCAATCGTAGAAAATGGACAAAAACAACAAAAGGTAAGTCGTATTTTTCGATGTCGGGCTTTTCCCTTACACTGTTAGATTCTATAAATTTGGGTTTTTTTGATAAAATTATGGATCTTCCAAATTAGGGTTCTTGACGAATCTAAATTAGGATTTCTTAAAAAAATTAGAGATTATCCAATTTAGGGTTTCTTATAAAAATTAGGGATTATCCAATTTAGGGTTTCTAATTTAGGGTTCATTAAAAATTTTAGGGATTTTCAAATTTAGGGTTTAAGATAGGGTTTTTTGGAAATTTTTGGGATTCTTCAAATTTAAAAGTTCTGGGTCAACTTTTGATTTGATTTTTATTTTTTTCATTTCTTCTGCAGGGACACTTTGTCATTATTAGTTAACCACAGTGGTAAACTTGTAATGATAGACGGTAATGTAGACTACGTAGAAGGTGATTTTGAAACAGTTTATAGTCTCGATATGGATAGATTTGGTTACTTTGATTTGGTAGAGCTCATTCAAAAACTTGGGTGTAGCACGTGGAAAAACATATATTACAGAATTCCCCAAGTGTTTGGTAAAGAAGCTTTGAGGGATGTGCTTGATGATGTGGGTGTGATGGAGCTGTATAGTCATGCTACAAAACATAATACCATGATTGAGGTTTATGTGGATCAGGGAAATGAATTCCAGTGTACTGAGGCTAGGAGTGTTGTTGGTGAAAAGAATGGTGAGGGTACAGGGGCATCAGAGATACATGATGAGGTTGGTGAAAGAACCATTGAGGGTAGAGGTGCAGCATCAGAGGTGCATGATGAGGTTGGTGAAAAAATCACTGATGGTAGAGGTGCAGCATCAGAGGTACATGATGAGATTGGTGAACAAAAAAATAAGGGCAAAGGGGTAGCATCAGAGGTAGTTGATGAAGATGATGAACTTGAGTACTTCATTGATAATTACATTCCAGATGAAGAAGGTGCCTGTGAAGGAGGTGCAGATGAAGAAGCTGCAGATGAAGAAGCTGCAGATGAAGAAAGTGAAGATGAAGACTACATGCCACAAGATAAAAGCTCTTCTGAGGATGACCTTAGTGATGAAGACATTGTATCTGAAGGTGATGAGTACATTGAAGCTAGAAAGAACATAAAAAAGTATAAGAAGACTGCACCTCATGATGATATTTCAGAGAGTGGGCTCAACCATTTTAGAAGCAGTGGACTTCAAGGAGCACATACTGATGAAGCTGATATGGATAATTTTAGTGATGACCAGTGTGCACTTATGACTGATTCAAGCAACAGTCAAGAGGATGAAATCACAGAGAATAGGCCAAGGAGAAAAAAAAAATCAGAACAGTGTATGATCCTGCATGTGATCATAAAACACTTGTGTTGCAAGTAGGTATGAGGTTTGAGTCAATTATTCAGTGCAAAAAGGCAGTAAGAAAAGTTGCAATATTGAATGGCAGAAATATTCATAATATGAAGAGCAATAAGAAACTGCTACATGTGAAGTGTGTGGATGGATGCCCATGGAGATTGTATGCTAGTGTAATTGCAGGTGAAGGAAGTGTTGCCATAAAGTCCATTGTTAATGATCATAGATGTCACAGGGACATTTACACAAAACAAGCAAGTGCTGATTGGATAGCAGAGGAATACATGAATACATTTAGAAAGAATCCCAACTTCAGTATTAGCCAACTCAGTGATGATACTCTGAGAAACTTTGCAGTTCACCCATCAAAGTGGAAGTTGTACTGAGGTAAGTGGAAAGCCTTAGAGCTGCTAAGAGGAACAGTTGTGGAACATTATGCTTCTGTCAGAAGGTATATACTAGAACTAATGAGAGTGGACAAGGAGGGTAGATTTGAGTTGCTTGTTGGTGAGGACACACAATTTAAGAGACTTTACATTGGCTTCAGTGCACTCAAGAAAGGGTTCATTCATGGTTATAGACCTGTCTTGGGTCTTGATGGCTGCTTTCTTAAGACATTCTTGGGGGGAGCTATGTTATGTGCAACAGCCAAAGATGGGAACAACCAGATGTACCCAGTTGCTTGGGTTGTAGTTGAGTCAGAGAATGAAGAATGCTGGACATGGTTTCTTAGTATCTTATTTAAAGATCTGGGAATTACTGATGGTTTGGGATATACACTTGTGAGTGACCAACAAAAGGTAAATATCAATTAATCTTCAATGTTATCTATAGTTTACCCCACATTTAGCTTTAAAATGTAAATTACTGATGTGAACTTACATTGGCAGGGACTGATGAATGCTGTGGAAGTGCTAACTCCATATGCTGAGCACAAAAATTGTGCAAGGCATGTCTACATGAATTGGAAAAAGCAGTTCAAGGGCCAAGCACTTAAGTCCATTTTTTGGAAAATAGTATTGAGTTCTAATATGGCAGCATATAATTTTGCACTTGAGAATCTGAAAACTGAAGATCCTGATGCATATGAGGATTTTATCTCAAGAGACCCTAGAAGATTCTGCAAAGCATTCATATCTACCATGCCAAGATGTGATATGATTGAAAACAATGTAAGTGAGACTTTTAATGGCTACATTGTGAAGTTCAGAAACAGACACATCATAGATATGCTTGAGGGTATTAGGACTGAATTGATGACAAGACAGCATGGAAAGCTTTTACAAGCTAGTGGAATAACTGACACCATATGTCCTAGGATTAGAGGAAAGGTAGAACAGAACAAGTTCATGTCAAGGTTGTGCACTACCCAACCAGCAGTTGGAGATAGATTTTGTAACACCCCACTTGATTTTAAAGAAATTTCGGATTTTTCAAAAACCAGTATAAA